CTCCCTTTTTCTCTCTCTCGTTCGCTCTCTCCCTTTTTCTCTCTCGTTCGCTCGCTCCCTTTTTCTCTGTCTTTTTCTCTCTCGTTCGCTCGCTCCCTTTTTCTCTCTCTTTCTTACTCTCTCTTCCAATGTATAGAAGAAATTGTGCTTGAAAATTAGTACAATATTCTATAGAAGAAGCTGCAAAAATGTGCGTAAAATGAACATAATCTAACGCTTTTTACAATTTATTTCCGCATTAACGTTTTAAATGAGAAAAGTTGTATGATTCAGTGATTTAAAGCAGACAGCATCGACGTCTCCTACGGCTTGAGTTACCTGCTCTCATACGTTTCTTTTTTTCTTTGTCCCTATGTTCTTTATCTTTACGTATTTCTCTGACCTATAATTTATTAATTTCACTCTACATTAAAAATTTTGCAATAACGTTTACTTGTAACTATGCTAAAGCACTGCTTTATATTTTGAAATTTATTATAATCATTAATTAATCCCTATTTAATTGATTACAGTTATAAAGAATCATGAATCATGCATCATTATTCATATGCTTACCAAAGTATAAAAGGCATCATCTACTCCCATTCGTGTTTTTGCAGAAGTTTCAACAAAAGGCACACCATATTGACGGGCAACTTCTCTTGCTTGTGTCATATTTACTGCCCAAGACTGTTGAAGATCACACTTATTTCCTACCAGTACCATTGGTACTTCTTCTGCATCTTTTACTCTTTTTATTTGTTCCCTATATGTACTTATGTCCTGCAATGTTAAACACATAAAAGCACATTCTTCAAGTTTCTATAGCTAACTAAAAAATTGATAATTGAGCATACCTCAAAACTTTTAGCTGAATTTACCGCAAAGACTAACAAAAATCCTTCACCAGTCCTCATATACTGATCCCTCATTGCGCTATATTCCTCTTGACCTGCTGTATCTAATATATCTAAAAGGCATGTCTCTCCATCTATGACTACCTACATTTAAAGTATTTGTTATGAAAGTCAATCCTGCACAAGTTTTTATTTGTGTGTAAAAAGAATATATAAACATACTTGTTTTCTATAGGAGTCTTCTATAGTGGGGTCATATTCATCTACAAAATGATTTTGTATCAACTGAATCGTAAGAGCAGATTTGCCAACACCTCCAGCACCAACAACAACAAGCTTATACTCTGTCATTATGTAATTTTTATTCCGACACGTTCTAGAGCTTTTAATGCAAAGCTACGATTGCTTTTGGTCTGAAAAATAAAAATTCATTTTTAACCTTAATGGACGATAAACGTTAATTCGAATTTAAAATTCAATTGAATAAATACAATAAATTA